TCCTGAAAATTTCCCTTTATAATAAAAACTTGTATAAAATGTTTTTTAAAAAATAACTTCTGCCCTAGCCGGCTTGGCTCAGTGGATAGAGCGTCAGCCTGTGGACTGAAGGGTCCCAGGTTCGATTCCGGCCAAGGGCACATGCCTGGGTTGCAGGCTCGATCCCCAGTAGGGGGTGTGCAGGAGGCAGCCGATCAATGATTCTCTGTCATCATTGATGTTTCTATCTCTCTCTCCTCCCTTCCTCTCTGAAATCAATAAATAAATATAAAGGAAAAAAATAAAATAAAATAAAAATAAAAAAATAAAAAATAACTTCTTAAAACTATTAATAAGGTGACAAGAATATAAGGAACACTCAGACTGTAGAATGAGTAAAGGCAGGACCCAGGGGCAAGGAGAGCAGAAATTGCTTAACCAGATAAACATGAACTTTAGGTTTGTAGCTTCCAGAGATACAGGGAAGGCGAGAAAGTCTGTCCAAGACGACTTTCCCAAAGGAATATACTATAAAGGTGAATAGGAAATAATCTTACTTCTCCCCAGGAAAATCAGCTATCTCCAACCTTGGCACTGATTAGGGGCCGGGAGTGGGGTGGGGAGTGGATCACCAGTGAGATTTTGAAACCACAAGCCCTCCCACTACTTGCATCATTTGAAAACCTAAAACCAATAACTTAAGAGTGATTCCAGCAGGATGGAGCCAAAGTGCCTAACATATCCTTTCCAGAGATACTTATCTTCATGGGGTTGAAAAGAATGCCCCAAAATAAAATTCTAAGGTAAATTACCAGCTCCATCCAACTAACTGAACTCAAAGAGAAACAAGGCATTGTGAGCAAGAAGCATAGACAACAGCAACAATCAGAAAATGGAGTCCTCAGTCACAATCTTAAAAAGCTGTTTAGTGCTCTAGCCAGATGGCTCAGTTTGTTGGCAAGTCGTTATTCTGTACACCAAAAGGTTGTGGGTTTGATCCTTGGTTGAGGGCATAGGAGAGGCAACCGATCAATGTTTCTCACTCATGTTGATGTGTTGTTTTTTTCTCTCTCCCTTCCTCTCTAAAATCAATTTTAAAAAATTTTGGACGAGGATTAAAAAAACTATTATGTATAAGAAAATGGAATATTTTTCAACCATAATATAAGTGCTGTAAGAGATGTAAGCAAGTGCTGTGGGAATGTAGAGGAATGAACTACCAATTGTAACCTAGTGTGTGTGTGGGGGGGGTGATGGTAACATTTAATCTGAGTTTTGAAGAATACTAATAAGACAGTACAGTGTTCTCCCTGTCAAGCTGGCTGAGCTATTTATTTATTTTTAAAATTATATCTTTATTGTTCAGATTATTACAGTTGTTCCTCTTTTTAGCCCCCATAGCTCCCCTCCACCTGGTTCCCACCCCATCCTCTGCCCTTATCCCCGCCCCATCCTCATCCATAGGTGTATGATTTTTGTCCAGTCTTTTCCCGCCCCCCCACACCCCTTCCCCCCGGCCCAAGAATTGTCAGTCCACTCCCTTTCTATGCCCCTGATTCTATTGTATTCACCAGTTTATTCTGTTCACCAGATTTTTTATTCACTTGATTTTTAGATTCACTTGTTGATAGATATGTATTTGTTGTTCATAATTTGTATCTTTACCTTTTTCTTCTTCTTCCTCTTCTTAAAGAATACCTTTCAGCATTTCATATAATACTGGTTTGGTGGTGATGAACTCCTTTAGCTTTTTCTTCTCTGTGAAGCTCTTTATCTGACCTTCAATTCTGAATGATAGCTTTGCTGGATAAAGTAATCTTGGTTGTAGGTTCTTGCTATTCATCACTTGAATATTTCTTGCCACTCCCTTCTGGCCTGCATAGTTTCTGTTGAGAAATCAGCTGACAGTCGTATGGGTACTCCCTTGTAGGTAACTGAGTTTCTTTCTCTTGCTGCTTTTAAGATTCTCTCTTTGTCTTTTGCTCTTGGCATTTTAATTATGATGTGTCTTGGTGTGGTCCTCTTTGGATTCCTTTTGTTTGGGGTTCTCTGCGCTTCCGGGACTTGTAAGTCTTTCACCAGGTAGGGGAAGTTTTTTGTCATTATTTCTTCAAATAGGTTTTCAATATCTTGCTCTCTCTTCTGGCACCCCCATAATTTGGATGTTGGTACGCTTGAAGTTATCCCAGAGGCTCCTTACACTATCTTCATATGTTTTTCTTTTTGCTTTTCTGGTTGGGTGTTTTTTGCTGCTTCGTATTTCAAATCTTTGACTTGATTCTTGCGATCCTCTAGTCTGCTGTTGGATCTCTGTATATTATTCTTTATTTCAGTCAGTGTATGCTTAATTTCTAATTGGTCCTTTTTCATATCCTCGAGGGTTGCACTAGATTTATCGAGGGTCTCACTAAATTTATTGGAAGTTTCTAGAAAATTCTTGAAAAACCTTATAACCATGGTTTTGAACTCTATATCCAGTAGTTTGCTTTCCTCCATTTCTGTCATTTGTGACCTGTTTCTTTGTCTCCGCATTTTGGCTGCTTCCCTGTGTTGATAGAGTGGCTTTCTGTGCTAGGTGTCCTATAGGGCCCAGTGGCTCAGCCTCCCCAATTACCTGAGGTAGACACTCTTGGTGCACCCCTTTGTGGGCTTTGTGCACAGTCTTGTTGTAGTTAAGCCTTAATTGTTGTAGGTATCACTGGGAGGAATTGACCTCCAGGCCAATTGGCTGTGAGAATCAGCTGTATCTACTGTGGGAGAACTTCTGTGCTGGAGACACCCTTCTGGGGCAAGACTTGCTTCAGTGGGGCTTTGGTGCTCACTGAGTCTACCCCCTGAGTGTGTCCCTTATGAATCTGAGGAGTTGTGATCTGGTTGGTCCCACTCTGACCACTGGGTACACTTGCTCTTGGATCTCTAAGGAGATGTTAATTTAGCCTCTGCCTGAGGCTACCCAGCAGGAGCTACAGAGAAATCTGCAGATTCCTCTTCTTTGTTTGGGGTTTGGAAGTGCCCAGATGAGGCCCAGCTGGGAAGCAATGCAAGCTGCTGTGGGGCCTTGGGCCTTCTTTTGGATGTTCTGGGTCTCTCTGACCCAGCTATAGTTTGTTAGGTAATTTTAGATTGCAAAGGGCCAGGCCATTCATATGCAAAAGCCTCTGCGCATAGCTTGGGTGGGGTGGGGTCTCAGGGAATCAACAGAGCAGAGCAAACAGCTATGGCTGATCCTCAGCCCTGCCCTAAGAGGCCCCGGGTCTCAGTGTCCCGCGGTAATCGCTGCAAGCACCTCTGAGAGAAAGCTGCCCTCGAGTTCCGCCCACTGCCAGACAGTCCAGTTTCTCCCCGTATGAGTCTGGGTCCCCAGACACTCGCCCGGAACTAGAGTTCAGAGCCGTCGGGAGCATGTGTCTCCCTCCCGATTGAAAAAGACAACCATGTCCTCAGTTGCCAGCCCTTTCCGCATGAGCCTCCTCTGAGTCTCAGTGTGCTTTTCTCTTTCCTTCTAGTTGTAGAATTTCCACTCAGCCAGCCTTCCTGTGGTTCTGGATGACTTACGTTTTGTCTTTTAGTTGTAGTTTTGAAGTGGTTGTGCGAGGCAGCAATTTCAGGTGTTTACCTATGCCGCCATCTTGGTTTCTCTCCTATTTATTTATTTCTCACCAGAGAATATGTTTGTTGATGAGAGAGAGAGAGAGAGAGAGAGAGACATCAGTGTGAGAGAGAAACATTGATCTATTACCTCCCGTACATGCCCCAACTGGGTATCGAACTCAAAATCTAGGTATGTGCCCTGACTGGGAATCCAACCCATGATCTTTTTGGTGTTCAGGACGGTGCTCCAACCAGCTGAGCCACCTGGCCGGAGCTGGCTGACCTATTTATATAGATAAGAGACCTAGTAAATTTTTGTTTATTGTACTTAACCATTATTCGATCAGTAGCCTAAAACTTGACTTCTGGCTGAGAATATATACCACCAGTGGGCCTGCATCTGGGTTGAGAACCATAAACCCAGGAGAGATTTCGTGTGTATAATTTCATCCCTAACTACATGCTTGTTTTTATTTGTAGGATCTTATGAATGGAAAGTCTGGCTGTTGGCTTCTTTTTTTTTCCTTGATCATTTTTTCATTGTGTTATCTTGGATGAATTATTTATGTAATTTCTAGTAAAGAGATTGTATCTATTTTATTTAAAGCACAGCAAACAAAATTATAAAGAATAATATGATAAGCCAGTCAGAGAAAGGCAAATACCATATGATCTCACTTATACGTGGAATCTAATGAACAAAATAAAGTGATGAACAAAATAGAAATAGAGGCATAGATACTTTGGAACAAACTGACAGCTGTCAGAGGGGAAGGGAAGGGGGGACTGGATGAAAGAAGATGAAGAGATTAGTCAAAGAACATATATGCATAACTCATAGATACAGACAATAGTGTGATGGCCAGAGGGAAGGGGATTGGGGATTAGGTGGCTGTGGGGGAGGTGAGCATTGAGACATCTGTAATAGTGTCAACAATAAAAAAGTAAAAAAAAAAAATAATAATTTTTTAAAAAGAACAATATGGTTCTTACGCTTTTACTTTGTGGTGAATATCTTGATTGAACACGGAGAATAGAAATAGTTATTTGTATGATTATTGGATATTTTGATTCCAGTGGATAAGAATAGCAGCTGACCTGTGAAAGATTACAAATCCATTTACCTGTTATCTTTGACAAGTGTCCTAGGTTCCAAACCCTTAAGATTATCATCGCTAGGGAACCACCACAAGCTTTTTCAATATCAGAGAGAGAGAAATATATTTCTTCCAGAAAATGTAATACTTCTGTTTAGGTACATAACTATAGAAGTGTGAACAATAATAATCCCAATAGGTTAAAATGTTGCATGTATTTGTTCACTGAAAACTTAATTTGACCCATTGTTAATAGTGAACTTTTGTTCCTTTAAAAGTTATGGCTCATTGCCTTGTGATGTGTAATGCCTAAAGCCTTTTTAAACGTTTCAGGGCAGCGTGACAGCAATGACAGTGTTTTTTCCTTTGGATACAGCTCGACTTCGACTTCAAGGTGAGTATCTTTTGTAGAGTCAGGAAGCAATCATATTTTTCTAGTAAGTTCTAAAATAACACAAAGACATTCTGTTTCATTAGAGATCCATTGTCCATTTTCACTGACACTTTAAATACTCATCATTGCTATTTCCTAATTAATTGAGAGAGGTTCATGGATCAGTCATTCTATTCTGAGACAACCTGGTTGGGCTTGCATTAATAGTTTTGAATCGTTGCGATTATTTCTAATAAAATGACTTTTAAAAGGCACAGTGGAGAGTTTTTGCTGGGGATGGATTTTCTCAAAAGAGAAGAGAGAGTAGGAAACATAGTGGAGCCAAATACCCAAACCTATGCCAAAATGTACATGAAGAGATAAGAGTAAGATGAGTTTTGTGTTTTTTTTAAAATATATTTTATTGATTTTTTACAGAGAGGAAGGGAGAGAGAGAGTTAGAAACACTGATGAGAGAGAAACATTGATCAGCTGCCTCCTGCACATCTCCTCCTGGGGATGTGCCTGCAACCCAGGTACATGCCCTTGACCGGAATCGAACCTGGGACCTTTTAGTCCAAAGGCCGATGCTCTATCCACTGAGCCAAACCGGTTTTGGCTAAGATGAGTTTTGAATAAACTAATTCCTATGTTATAACCCTTCATGACTACTATTTTTAATTAATTTTAGAGTCTTAGGATAGATAATAATTTCATCTGACTCAACTCAAAAAACAAAGTATTAAAAATATATACAGTACAGTAAAAAATTTCACTTTAGTCTTCCCCCTTTTTCCTTTTTTCTTCCCTGCAGATAATGTCCTTATTAGTTTCTCAAATAGTTTTGCAGAGTTTCTTTATGGAGTAACAAGCAAATAAGAATATATATTCTTTTCTTGCTGGGGTCCTGCCCCAGCAGGTCCAGGGGTCCCCAAAGGTGTGGACGGAGTCGGCGAAGAAGGAATGACACAGAGACAGCGTTCAGTTGATCAGCAGCCTAGCCAGGATCTCTAACCAGGATCTCCAGCCAAGTTCTGGTCTGGATCTCCAGCGAAGTTCTGTGTCCATGTTCTCTTGCTAGGTTCTCCAGCCAGGTTCTCCAGCCAAGTTCTGGTCTGGATCTCCAGAGAGGTTCTGCTCTGGATCTCCAGCGAAGTTCTGGTTAGGATCTCCAGCCAGGTTCTGGCGCCATGTTCTCTTGCTAGGTTCTCCAGGTTCTCCAGCCAGGTTCAGTCACCAGGTTCTAGTCAGGTTCTCTTGCAAATTTCTGTAGTCAGGTTCAGTCCAGGATCTTTTGCCATGTTCTCTCCAGCGAAGTTCTTCTGTCTCTAGGTTCTGTGTAGGTTCTGTCTTCTAAGTTCTGTCTTCTAAGTTCTGTCTCTTTCTGTCTTGTTACATCTGTATTTATACCAGTTGATTCAATCCTATCAATCTCTATTACAAAGGTTAGAGCGTCTCTTATCTCCATTCCAGGGAGTAAAGATTATGTAGCTTAAGCATGATTGTTTGTAGTTAAAGTGATTAATTACCTGCCTGGCACTTTTTTTTTTTTTTTTTTTTTAATATATTTTATTGATTTTTTACAGAGAGGAAGGGAGAGAGATAGAGAGTTAGAAACATCGATGAGAGAGAAACATCGATCAGCTGCCTCCTGCGCATCTCCCACTGGGGATGTGCCCGCAACCCAGGTACATGCCCTTGACCGGAATCGAACCCGGGACCCCTCAGTCCACAGGCCGACGCTCTATCCACTGAGCCAAACCGGTTTCGGCACCTGCCTGGCACTTTGTTGAGGGGTTTTATTCCCTCCCTAACTTCAGGGGAAAATCCCTACCTGGGGAAGCAACCTTTCTCAGAGAGGAGACCTTGGTTAAAACACATAGTGCCAAGGTGAGCAAACATATTAAGAACAGTATGCCATATATGCCAGGTCCCTTGAAACAGCAAGGATGGACGGGCTCCCGGCATTTTCTTCCTTATGCCAGAAGCATACTTTTCCCACAGTTCTGTACCTTGCATTTTTCACTTAGCAGCATATTTTGGATACCTTCCAAATCAGTACATTGGGAGCCTCTTCTAACTGTAGAATGATCCATGGTGTGGATACACCATAACCTATTTACCAACCCCACCCCCCACCCCCGCCCCCAATTGGAGATTCTTGGGTTGGTTGGTTCTTTTGTAGAATAGATTTATTCATATGCCACTGTTTCTGTAAATTCTATGAAATAAATTCCTAGAAGTGGGCTTGCTGATCAAAGGATAAATGTGTTTTTAATTTTGATAGCTATTGCCAGATTCCTTCTATATAGGTTTCCTAATTTGCTATCGTATAAGCCATATAGGTACCAATTTAATTATTTTTTGTTGTTGTTTTTGTTCATCCTCACCTGAGGATATTTTCTCCATTGATTTTTAGAGAGAGTGGAAGGGAGAGAGCACAAGGCTAAAAGTTTGGAAACTTGAGGGTTTGTTTTTTTTTTCTTTAATTGATTTTTAGAGAGAGAGGAAGGAAGAGTAAGAGAGAGAAAGATTGACGTGAGAATGAGCCATCGATGGGCTGCCTCTAGCACACCCTCTACCAGGGATCAAGCTGGCAACCTGGGCATGTGCCCTGCCTGGGAATCGAACCGGCAGTATTTCAGTGCACTGGACGATGCCCAACCAACTGAGCAACATTGGTCAGAGCTGGAAACTTGAGGTGTTTTTTTTTTTCTTTTTTTGAAAGTTTGAGTTTTAATCCTGACTTTGCTACCAATCACGTGTCCTTCACAGCTTTTGTTTCTACAGCCTTTTCTCTAGAAGGGAGATGATAGTTTATTTCCTCTCTATAAGATGTTAAGATAAAAATGAGAATATGTAACTTGGGGCGGGGGGGACAAAAGAGCCTTATGAATATAAGAAATAAATTTCTTTTTTAAAATTTTATCTTTATTGAAAATATTACAGATATCCCCTCCCTGTTCCTCCCCCCCCCCCCCCCCCGCATTAAACCCCTTCAGCCTACCCCTGCCGCCCCCCAAGGAATAAATTTCTTTTGTCACATCTTTTACTATGGGTATTAGGTATTGAATTAAAATGCTATGATCCATGAATAACAGACATATTTTTCCTCTTGTAGTTGATGAGAAAAGAAAGTCCAAAACTACACACATGGTGCTCCTGGAGATCATTAAAGAAGAAGGCCTGTGAGTACTACCACCTTCACCTTTGTTAGAAAAGCACCTCCCTAGGAGATTCACAGCCTACACTCCTTTCTGTACGTTCTCATAGCCTTGTAGTGTGAATTTGTAAATACTTGACTGGTAAGTAAAGTCCTGTGGTTCGCCATTTTGAATCTTAATTGTAGAGTCTTCCATGAAATCAATATTTTGTTTTTTGTACAGTAAACTGAAGAAGGTAATAGTTGTGTAGTTCATTCCTATCAGGTGCATCTAGGTTATGTACTACTTTTAACTTTTTATTTGGAAATAATTTCAAATTTACAAAAAGTTGCAAAACTTGATTACTAGTATGTGCTTTACCCAGATTCACCTATTGTTAATAATTTTTTTTTTTTGTCATTGGCTCATGCATTCTTTCCTCCTTTTCTCTCTCCTTCCTTTTCTCTCTGTACCACACACACACCATACACAGATTTTTTTCAAATTATTTTAGAATAAGTTTCATACATCAAAACCCTTTACCCTTATGACATTGACTTTTTTAAAAGTTTTTTTCAATATGGTTTTATTGATTTTTAAAGAGAGAGGAAGGGAGGGAGAGAGAAACATCGATGTAAGAGAGAAACATGGATCGATGGTTGCTTCCTACATGTACCCCCACTGGGGATCAAGCCAGTAACCCAGGCATGTGCTCTGACTGGGAATTGAACTGGCGACCTTTTGGTGCACAGGATGACACTCAATCAACTGAGTCACACAGGGCTGCCATTGACACTTTTAAAGAATATAGTCAGTCTTCCTCCCACTTTTAAAAAATAAAATGCTGCTTATTTTAAGTCTGCCTCATGTTTCTTCATGATTAGATGAGGCTATGTATTCTGCGCCTCATCTTTATTAGTTATTCATGATTTTTTAAAAATATGATAAGAATCATTTATTGACTGCCTCCTACCCATCCCCTACTGAGGATCATGATCCAGCCTGAAGCTGGGGCATGTGCCCTGACCGGGAATCTAACTGTGACCTCCTGGTTCAGAGGTCAATGCTCAACTACTGAGCCACACCTGCTGGGCTAATCATGATTTTTTTAGATTTGAGTTAGCCACTGAATAATTTTGTTTCCTCTGTTGCAATTATAAGTACTCTCTGAGCAGTTACTTTAGTTAGTATCAATATAGACTCAGAAATTTCTGTTTTACTAGTGATTTACAATTGATTACTATACTTTATTATTTTGGTGCTCAAATTGTTCCAGGTTTGACCAGTGGGAATCCCTTAGTCTGGTTCCTATACTCTTATAATATGCCCCCACCACTTTTTTTGCACTTATATTCTATATTTACTTTATTTTAAATATTATTGCTCTGTAATAAAATGTGAATGATGCTGTATTAGCTAACAGCCATGAAGAAATTATCTTTAGTATTACTAAAGGAAAGCAGTAAACAAGCCATTGAAAGTTTATTGTTTCTTTGGTGTCATTGGTGCTAGAAAAGATTTCTTGGTTTGGGCATCCTTCAAAATGTAAGATGTGTATAATGTAAAGTACATTGTAGTGCAGGAGTGAACTTTGAAAATATGTGAATGATAATCAGCCTTTCCTAGGACTTAATTCATTTCTAGTGGCTTTTGTCCATCATCTTTATTTTACTTATTGTTTTTTCCCTAGCCTGGCCCCATATCGAGGATGGTTTCCAGTTATCTCCAGTCTCTGCTGCTCCAATTTTGTCTATTTCTACACTTTTAATAGCCTCAAAACAGTCTGGGTCAAAGGTCAACATTCTACTACTGGAAAAGATCTGGTGGTTGGATTTGTTGCAGGTAACAAAGTTTTCTGAGCATAAAATATTTTTATATCTTAACACTTATTTTGTCCATATATCCTCTATGACAGGGGTGGGCAAACTTTTTGACTCGAGGGCCCCAATGGGTTCTTAAACTGGACTGGAGGGCCTGAACAAAAGCATGGATGGAGTGTTTGTGTGAACTAATATAAATTCAAAGTAAACATCATTACATAAAAGGGTACGGTCTTTTTTTTTTCAATAGTTTTATTCATTTCAAACGAGCTGGATCTGGCCCGTGGGCCGTAGTTTGCCCACGGCTGCTCTATGAGGTTATTTTAGCACAGAGTTATGCTACAAAGAATATAATTAGTTTGCTGACTTGGCTGTGTGTGTGTGTGTGTGTGTGTGTGTGTGTGTGTGTGTGTGTGTGTGTGTTAAAAGCACATAACATAAAATTTACCATCCTAATAATTTTAAACTGTATACTTTAGTAGTAAGTTTCTGTACATTGATGTGAAACTGATCTCCAGAACATTGTCATCTGACAAATGCGAAACACGTGACTAGACCCATTAAACAACTCCCCTTTCTCTCCCCCAGCCCCTAGTAACCACCATTCTACTTTCATTTGACTACCTTAGATGCCTCATATAAGTGGAATCATACAGTATTTAAATTTTTGTGACTGGCTTATTTTACTCAGCATAATGCCCTCAAGGTTCATTCATTTTATAGGATATAAAAGGATTTCCTTCCTTTTTAAGGCTGAATAATATTCTGTTGTATGTGTATATACCACGTTTTGTTTATCCATTCATCTGTTGATGAATATTTAGATTGTTTCCACCTCTTGGCTACTGTGAATGGTTGCTGATATGAAAATGGGTTGTGCAAATACCTCTTTGAGTCCCTGCTTTCAATTCTTTTGGATATTTACTCAGTAACTCTTTTTTAAATTTTGTGAGGAACCACCATCCTGTTTTCCACAGCAATTGTGCCATTTTATAATTCCACCAGCAGTGCACAGCAGTTCCATTTTCTCCACATCCTCGCCAACACTTGTTATTTTGTTGTTGTTTTTTTGTTTTTGATAGAAGCCATCCTAATGAATATGAAGTGACATTTCACTGTGGTTTTGATTTGCATTTCTCTCATTTTTCATTTGTTTGTTGGCTTTTCATAAATTGAGTGATTTGATTTTTTTCTTGTTGAGCTGTAGGTATGTCTTCTTTATATATTCTGGATATTAGCCCTTATCAGATATATGATTTGCAAATATTTTCTAAACTGCATCCAGCGCGGCCAGTGATGAACTTGAGGAGGGGCGGTGAAGGATTAAAGAAAATAGACAAGAGAATACAGTTGGGGCCAGATGGATCACTGTGCCTGTATGAGGACATAGTCACACAGCCTGTAAGCGAGTCTTTATTTTATAGTCAGATCACACAAAGCAAAACAAGGGCAAGATGTTTACAGTGTTCTTGCGAATTTCAAATCTTCTTCTTTCCTGTTGTTGCCATCCTCTGAACTCTATCAAGCTTTGTTTAGGCAGCATTGCTGTACCTCCCTCAGCCCACATCCCTTAGCTACCTAGGACTGCAGGGTCGGACTGTAAGGTCAAGCTTATAACCATAGCTTTTTGGCTATAATTGTGCTGGGAGGGCTTTGCGCTCCAGGCTGGGACTTGTATGTGGCTTTGCCACAAGTCAGTCTGAGGCTTGATCCTGTCCTAAGGCTGTAGCCGCTCTCCACAATTTTCTCCTATTTTATAGGCTGCCTTGCACTCTGTTGATTATATTCTTTGATACTCAAAAGTTTTTGTTTGAGTTTTAAGTTTGTACCATTTGTCTTATTTTTGCTTTTTTTTAAAATATATTTTATTGATTTTTTACAGAGAGGAAGGGAGAGAGATAGAGAGTTAGAAACATCGATGAGAGAAACATTGATCAGCTGCCTCCTGCACATCTCCCACTGGGGATGTGCCCGCAACCCAGGTACATGCCCTTGACCGGAATCGAACCTGGGACCCCTCAGTCCGCAGGCCGACGCTCTATCCACTGAGCCAAACCGGTTTCGGCTTATTTTTGCTTTTTTGCTTGTGCTTTTGGTATCATGTCCAAGAAATCATTGCTGAGTCTAATATCATGAAAGCTTTACCTCCTATGTTTTCTTCTAGGAGTTTTATAGTTTTAGGTCTTTTATTTTTCATCCACTTAGATGTATAATAATAATCTGCATATTTGCCTTTATCTTTTACTAGGTAGTGAACCACTTAAAGGCAGAGATTAGAGCCAATTTTTGTATGTGGTATAAGATAAGGGTCCAATTTCATTCTTTTGGATGTAGATAATCCAGTTTTTCTAACACCATTTGTTGATGATACTGTCCTTTCCCCATTGAGTGAGTCTTGGCACCCTTGTGGAAGATCCATTGACCATATACACAAATGTTTATTTCTGAGCTGACTTTGCTTATTTTTATCTTTTTAATCCAGAGAGGAAGATAAGTTATCCCTGCTTAGCAGCCTATACCCAGAATATATGGAAGCTAAGGTTTCTTTTTAAAAAAAGAGGGATTTCAATAACTTCCTTGCTTATTTTCCATATATATATATATATATATATATATATATACACATACACATACACACATACATATACACACACACATACACATATACACATACACACACACTTAAACTGGGGTTCACATGAGATGTTTACATATTAACATGAACAGGACTGGCTACATAATTTGCAGTGCCCAGTACAAAATGAAGATATGGGACTCCTTGTTCACAATTTAGTAAGCATTTCAAGATGGATGACACCAAAGCATTAGACAGGTTGCACATCCATGAAGCCCACCCTGAGTATGAAAGCATTTAGTCAAATGTGACAAAGGTATTTATTGCACAGCCCTAGGTAGTTTGTATCATAATAGTTGTTGATGCTTTAAAGGGTTCATAGCAGGATGAGAGGTCACTTTTGGCTGTGGGGAGAGGGGGGTATCTTTTTAAAAATATGTATATATATATATTTTTTTATTGATTTCAGAGAGGGAGAGAGAGATAGAAATATCAGTGATGAAAGAGAATCATCGATCGGTTGCCACCTACTCGTCCCCTACTGGGGATCGAGCCCACAACCTGGGCACGTGCCCCTGATCAGAATCAAACCGTGACCTCCTGGTTCATAGGTTGACACCCAACCACTGAGCAACAGCGGCCAGGCTGGGGGTGGGTGGGTGGGTGGGGGCATGGTATCTTATACAAACCAATGGCTCTTGAATTAAGCCTTCATAGGATTAGGCTTAATTAGTAACATTTATAGATGAATAATGACAGTTTCCTGATGAAGGGAATGATAGAGAATTGAGAAAATCCATGTTTAGAACAGTGAGTTCTCTTAGTTAATGAGTGAAGTGAGTATAGGAACATGAACAATAAAATTGTAGAGGTGAGTAGGAGCTAGATTTTAGAAGGCTTTGGATTCTTGTTATCTGAGACTTCAGAGCTACTAGGGAACCATTAACCTGGTATTGTGAGTATTTAGTTACTGTCTGCCTCTACTTAGTGGAATGGCTCAATGCTTACTCTACTGTATATTAATAGTCTGCATATTTGTCTTTATCTTTCAGTAGGTAGTGAACTGCTTAAAGGCTGAGATTACATTTTTGTTATCTCTTCATCCCTAGTGTTTTAACACAGTGTCTAGTATATGGAAGGTACTGATTAATTGTTGAACAAATGAATGAAATTTAAAGACCTGCTCCTCCTGTATCTTGCAGTTTACTAAGTGGCAACTCTAGTCTTCTACTTGCCCTACCAGAGATCTCAAATTTTCCTCTCTCTCTCTGACCCCACTTCCAGTCTATGAGCAGATCCTGTTGCCTCTCTCTGCATACGGTATCCAGTGCAGCCACTTGTCTCCACTATGACCTGAATCCAAACCACCATAAAATCTTGACTGGATTATCTTCAGAGCCTCCTGGACTGATGTCCTGCTTTCAATTTTGTCCCCTTTAATCTGTCTTCAACATAACAGCCAGTGTGATCATGTTAAAACAAAAGCAAGATCATATTTTTTCTCAGAGCCCTCCAGTTGCTGCTTCCCATCTTGCTCAGAGTAAAAGCCAAAGTCCTTACCTTGTCCTGCAATGCCCAGTGTGACCTGGCCCTCCTAGTCTTCTCTTCACTCACACCACTGCACCACACTGCCTCTTCTCTTTGAGCACCACTGGCATGCTTCTGCCTCAGGGCCCATGTGCCTGCCTTTTCCTCTGCCTGGCAACTGCCTGGCTCACTCCTTCACCTCCTTTAAGGTCTTTCCCCCAAAATGGCCACCATGTCTGAAATAGACACCTCAATAATCTGCCAAAATTTTCTTCTTAACTCTTATTCTCTAACATCCTACATATTTTACTTATCTTGTCTCATTACAGCATTAAAATGTAAGCTTCATGAGGACAGGGATTTTATTTTTTATTTACTGCTCTATCGTCAGCACCTAGAACAGAGTTGATCACATACTAGACACACAATATATGTTTGGTGAGCAGACCATGAATGAATGACTTGCAGAAGAAAGACTGTACTTGTTCTATATTACCCAAAGGAATTGGGCCAGGATAACAGTACACATAAAGTCATTTCAGAGTTGCTAATTCATATCTTAGGTAAAAATCATTTACTAGCTAATGTCATATATGTTTCCAGTTGTTTAAGAACATAGACTTAATATCAATAAAAATAACATTTCTAACAGGGCTTAGAAAAAAATAGATCATTGGGGTAAGAGTTGTCTTTTGAAACTTTCAAAAATAAAGTGAATAATCACTTGGTGATTGGATTAGAACAGTGGTTCTCAACTGAGGCTGCTTTGACCCACAGGGGCCATATGGCAAATGTCTGGAGATAGTTTTGGTTGTCACAACTGGGGGATGCTACTGGCATCTAGTGAGTAGAGGCCAGGAATACTGCTAACCATCTTACACAATGGCACCCCTCACACACACCCAAATAAAGAATTATCT